GTTGTATTTCTGAGCATAACTTTCAAATTTAAAAAATCTATGAAAAGAAAATTCGAGACAAATTTTTTTTTAGATTAATAGACCCCCTTTTTAAAGCTGAATTGAATGGCGGTGGGTTTTTTTAAAAATTCAATGTGTGGTGGATCACATAATATTTCAAAATTTTTAACTTTTGAGTATAGATGATCCGCAATGTATACCGTGTATTCCAAATTGAATCGAAGTAGAAAATCGGATTCGATTCGGATCCGATTTGAATGAAACGAATCAAAATTAGTTGATTCAAATTGATTCGAATTGGTTCGAATTTCATTGATTCACTCGGAACCTTACTCATTTATAGCTTAATGACGATTTTGTCTTTGCTTTCTTTTCTTTCTCACATAAACTTATTATTTTTTCTTCAATATCTATTTCGTAGATAATCACATCAAACTGCCAGGGAGACCAACCCACATCCATGTATTCATTTATTAGTTATAAATCATGGTTGTTTATAACTATGGGATGGAGGAGAAGAAAACACAGGAGCTGGATAAAGCTCCACTTCATTACTTGGATTGTTTAAGGTATTTGAAACATTCATTATATTTTTGATTGTAGATTAATTGGCCTAAATAGTGAAATAGAATCAATTCGCAAAAGTTGAGTCAAGCCAGGCCAAGCTTTAGTCCAAATACAAATGCGATCTGATTTTTGCACAACACTGTATTAACAGGAGCACAATTTCAATGTGGACTACCATACCTCATCTTTCTTGTCCTCCTCGAAAAAGGATTTCCTCCAGCATCTGCAATTATCTCTTGATGTTCACTTAAATCGAATGAGTGACATAGATAGCAACAAATGACTTTGAGAGTAATGTAACTTATCGCATGATTTCTTCTGTGGTGAATTTACTTCAGCTTCACCAGTTTCATTGAAAGCTCTAGATAATCCCTATAGGTTATTTTTTGAAAGTTTTGTCTGCCAGTAACACCATGCAGATCCATACTGTTCATAAGATGTATCCGGTTTACTGACAAAATATGAGGTTAGTTGTTCATAATAACAATTCACCGTTTGCATAAACATCATTACCAGATAAAATTCTGCAAAGCTTTTTTCTGTTCACAAATCAGTTCTTCCCCAATATACTGAAACCTCTTATCTGCACGCTCAGTTTGACCCATTGAATAAAAATATAAATGAGAATATGCTTATTCCATCAAAGTAAAAAACTAAATCAGTAAAGAAAATAAGCCAAATAAGTTGTAAATAGTGGTGGCTGGGATGAGAGCCAATGCTCCTAATCTGGATAAAAGCAGATAGAAGTTCACCAATCCATTGCTCGGGTTGATACGAAAACCAACACTCTTAATCTGGATAAAAGCAGGTAAGAGCTCCCTTAAACAAAATATAAAGATATGTTACTCGCTAATTTGTTGGATTTATCTCTTTGCTTTGAATAAAAATCTGCTGTCAAGAGCAAGCCATTCGTCTGAAGAGCATACTTACATGAGGATTATACACAGTAAATCTTGATTTAGCGAACCTCAATTTAGCAGGTATTAATTAAAAATCTTCTCAATATAGTAAATATCTTGATTTAACAGATTTTTCCCTAATTGCCCAAACTATCCACTAAATTGAGATTCACTGTGTACCACAATGGAGGTTCAAAAAATCAGCATAAGACCATGTTTCATTCTCCTTTAAGTAAAGCACAAGTTCTAGAATATCCAGCACTTAGAAACATCATGTGATTTTCGGTATTTTCGAAAATACTTTTGGAAAATTTCGCCCCATTTGTGTTTTCGGAGCCAACTATAGTTATATGCTAAAATGGTAAAAAATTGAGTAAGGTTTTTTAATAATCCGGTTTTTCGAACCGAATTTATGTTGCATCGAGATATTTCTATTATTATGAGTACAAACAAATACTAATACTATTATAATCAACAAATCGATCATAAAAATTTTTTTTAAAATAAAAAATCAAAAATTTAAAAAATGAGTCAATTAGAAGTAAAATCGAAAACTATTGCAGTCCCTATCATGTTTACTGAGGGAGAGCTTGCAAAACTTCATAAACCAGGTGGTAATCCACAAATTAAACCTGAGTTAATGGAACAACATTTGAAAGAAACTGGTGGTAAGGTGGTAACTCGATTTCCTCCAGAACCTAATGGATTTTTACATATTGGTCATGCAAAAGCTATCAATGTAAATTTTGGATATGCTAAAGCATATGATGGAATATGTTATCTAAGGTTTGAATCAATAACGTTAAACTAAGATGATTAATTTATCAATGATATTTACTATATAACAAATTAACATTGATAGATATGATGACACTAATCCTGAAGGTAAAAATCTTTGTTTACACTTTTAAATCAATCAATCAATTAATCAAAAGAAAATTTAATGCACATGTGCATATATATTTTATATTAATGTATTGTTTTATCTAATGATAGCTGAGGAAGAGATTTATTTTACTTCTATTAGAGAAGCAGTAGAATGGTTAGGGTTTTCACCATACAAGATCACATATTCTTCTGATTATTTTGACAACCTTTATGAATTGGCAATAGAATCAATTAAGCGTGATAAAGCATATGCATGTTCATGTGATCGATGATAAAATTTCATTGTGTAACAATAAAATTAGGGCACGTAGATCAATTTAATATTAAAGAAAGTACGCGGTTTCCCGTTTTGTTAATTTTAAGCAAACATGGTCTAATACCTTCGCCAGTTATAATCTATATGTTAGAGATAGTATTATGTAAAAAACACAAATTTGGCCAAAAAAACTCGGTGGTGGTTTTGCTAGAGACAGTCCTGTATGCCAATTTTGGATAAAGGTTTGCAAAATTCTCTATTATTTACCATGATTTTAATCACTTAAAACAGATAAGGCACAAAAAGAAGACAGAAATATTGATCTTGCGTCAGAGCTACAAATTATTCATACCAAATATTGTCTCGTAAGTTTATTGTTATTTTTTTAATAAAAAACTTTAAAGTTTAAAATCAATGATTATTTCTTTTTAAGTGTTCTTTGTTTTTCCGCATGCTCTACAATTTTTTTATCAGTTGACATACCCTTAAAAAAATTTAAAATTAGATTAATGTATTTTTTCCTTCTGTATAAATATAAAAAAATTTACTACAAAAATGGTTTAAACTTGAAGAAATAAACACCTTGCGTTTCCTTACACCCTCCATATATTTTTTAGCTAAATTTTCTCGATCTGATTTTTCTCCCAAGTCTTCAAGTTCTTCTTCTGTAGTTGGAACCCAAAATGGATCTTCATTTAACATCTCAAACCTTTGTTTCACGATTTCATATTATATAAAAAAAAGGTTTTTATATGATTGGAAAAAATAATAATAGTAAACTAAAAGGAAATCACATTTTCTTACCCACTAAAGATTAATTGTGGAATAGCTGCACCTGAAGTTCTTTTTCTTATCTCTTGATGTAAAAAGTATTTTTTTTATTTAATTTACGTGGAATAAATATAATTTAGTAAAATTGATTTCAAACTTTCCTTACCATCAGCAAGTCCAAAACTCTCTACTACAGGTAAAAGAGCACGAATTTGGAAAAAAGGAGTTCCTTCCTTAAGTTCCTCAGAAATAATATGCCCTCGACGTCGAGATATTACTGCATATACACGACCAAGTGCCTCAGCTGTTTAAATTTAATGACATAAATACCTTTTTTTAAAAAAATAAAAGGACACACACACACATATATATCGAACTTAACTAGTTACTTGAATATCACAAGAGTACATAGCCAACATTAATCTTGGCGACCATTCCAAGAAACTTTGTCGACAAACATCTCTCATTGTTGTTATAATTTGACCGCTTAATTTTTGGCGTACTAAAAATAGATAATTTATTGTAAAACATGAAAAAATTTAATGTATGTATGTATTTATGAAGGCAACTTTTAATATATACTGACATTCTGAAATGTCGACATTATCGCCATCTATTTCCACTTTAAAATCTTCCAAAAAATATGCTACACCCATTAATGGCTCTGAACAAAGTGGCCCAGCTTTTGTTGCTAATTGAAACCCTGTATTAATACTTTCATCAAAATTTTGAAGAGTAAGTTCTTGTAAATTATGTTCCTTAGTAGCTTCAGATGAAGTTGATGAGGTTGAGCCAGGAATTTTAGATTCCTTTAAATTTTGCCGCCATCTTTAAAAAGTATATTTATTATTGAATTAAAGAACAAAACTCGAAAAAATATTTCCTAATATCCAAAAAAACATTGTAAAAGGATACGATCTTCTTGTATAATTTGGAATATGATTTATTAAAATATTTGGTCCAATACGTTTAGGACCAAATGCCCAAATACTAAAAAAGATATTATAAATATGAAAATCGAATATTTAGTAATGCACATATAAAATATATATAGAATAATAAAATATATTTACCGGTCTATAACATTTTTCCAAATTTCTTTATCTGTTTTATTAAATTCAGCTTCTAAAAGTGAAAAAAATTCCTCGATATCTAAAATGTGATCAGACTTTTTACCACTCAGGTCTTTTATTGTATCCTCATCATCTTCATGATTTTCTATTTTATTGTACTGCTGACGCTCATTTAAAAAGGATTTAAGTGTATTGGAATGTTGATTTAAAAATGTAGTAACATTGGGAGGCAATGGCATAGCACGTACTCTAAGGGTGCAATGTTTATTTGGGGTGAAAATTATAACAACACCATGGTGATTGTTATGATCTTGAAAATAAAAAAATAGAAAATGTTATTAAATTATAATACAAAATTAGTTTAAATAAATAAATTACATGTAATAATAAGTTTCATACCAAGTACCTGACGTTAAAACTATAGTTTCTCTAAAAGGAACAATAGGAGGAGAAACATGTATTTCAATCTTTGCAAATCTTTCTTTTAGATCTCTTAAACAACGCTTTTAATGATAATAGAAAATTGATTAAAATAAGAAAAACATTTTTTTTTTGTGACTAAGGATTTAAAAAGAAAAGCTTTTGATTATTAACCTCAAGGTGTACTTCACCTGCTGTTAGGATCACATGTTCACCTGTTTCTTGAACTAAAACTTGGACAGTGGGATCCGCTTGGTTGAGTAAATGGAGGCCTTCAATGAGCTGATTCATTTCGGCTATTACAAATATAATCATTAATAAATCGTATGAATTTTTTAGAATGTAAAATTTATATTATTGTAATTATATTATTAAATTCATTACATGGATCTGCTGGTTCAAGAGCAACTCTTACAATGGGTGCAGACTAGAAAAATTTAAAGCAGAAATAAATATATATTTATATTTTTGGAGTAAAGTATATAATTATTACCTCTAATGTGACTCTGGCAAGACTTTGACATTCTTTAGTGCTACTCAATGTGCCATTCTTAAGTATATGTCCTTCAAGATTTCCAACTCCAAACACATTACCAGCAGGAACTTCTTTGAGAGATTCAAGTTCTCTTCCCATGATCAAGTAAAGATTTTTAATAATTACTTCAGAGCAATATCTGTTTGGAAATGCAGGATCGTATTTTGGTCCCAATACAAAAAGTTTTTGCCCAACACGAATAGTACCGGAATAAAGACGAGCAAAACCAACAAAAACCTCTTTTGACTGAATAACCTCTTCCTCTTCGTCTAATTTATTAGATTCTGATTGATCTAGTAATTTATTGCTACTATTATTGTCATTATCATTATCATTTTTATTTTTTTCAGGATGAGCAATCATGGCTCTTGACTCTGCTTCCTTTTGAGCTTTTCTTCTTTCTCTCAGTTCTTCAGCTGTTAAATGTTTCCGTCTGTTTTCTGGTAATAGTTCAGAAGGAACTGCGAACATTTTAGATACAAATGCAATTGCAGGTGCAGAATCATTAGAATCACATTTATACAATGAATGTTCAATCTCATTTTTAGGTGGGGCTGATATACTTGTATTTGGATATAAAATTTTTGGTAAGCGTACTTTTTGAGCAGCGATTGGTGAAGGAAGGTGCTCAATGACAGTAAGTGTGAAAAAGTTAAGGATAATAATAATGAATTTGGCAAGTTAAGAAAATAACAATAATCACGATAATTATAAAAGGATATGCAAAACAGCTTTTGATAATGGAAGCCATTGATTAAAAATAGAAGTTAATAAGATACGTGTGTCTTTTGACCGCATATCTCTTGGTAAAACTTTTAAATTGAGAGATTTGACTATTTTGCCTATTTTTTCATGGTTGCTTGATAATATATAAAAAATCAATAATTTTATAAATCAGCATTTATTTATGTGTCAAATTAAAATTTGTTATATTAAGAGCTTACTTGTTAACAATTACGGAGTCGTATATTGACCAAATATTTTTCAAAACAAGTTGAACAAATATAGGGTCCAGTTGTCGTCCTTTCAAATGTTTGTGTTGCAAGAGCCGTTTTGTTTTCGGGTCAAGATAATAATCACCCCAAAGAACTTTATGAAGTGTATTTTCCTTTATACCTAGCTTTTCAGCGTAAATTTGAGCGAATTGTTCGATTCTAACATCCAATTCCGATATTACTGTAAACAAATGGTTTTTATACTTTGGAAAAAAGTTTTTAAAACATATTATCAAGCACACTAGTTATACAAATTTACCTAAAGGCCCAGCCATCAATTGCACTAGAAAATATTACATTTCCTGAATCTGGCGAAAAATAAATGCTCGAGTCGTCGCGATCCTCAAATGTCAATTCGGTAGAGTTTGATTCTATGTGAGAACTTTCTTTTTCTTGTTGAGATAATTTTTCCTGAAAAGGTTTTTATATTAAAAATACTGTATATATATATGTATATATATACATATGAAGATTTAGTTAGACTATTCACCTTTTCGGCTTCATGTCTTCTAGTCTCTTTCTCCATGATATCTCCAGCAAAGAGTGTACCCATTATTGCATTAACTTGCTCGAGAATTTTATTTAGATGGGTATAAGCCTCCATTGGTGTTAATTTCAATTCAGTAATAAGTCGATCTATTTTATTCAAAACTAAAACTGAACGAACATTTTCTACCCAAACTTGACGGAGTACTGTGTGTGTCTTTTCAATGAAAGTTACACATATATAATACATGTTAGTCTCAATTAATTTGCACGCACACATACGCACACGCATATACACACCTGTGTACAAACACCTTCAACAACATCAACAAGAATTAATGCACCATCGCAAAGTCTTGATGCCGTGGAAACTTCACTTGAAAAATCAACATGTCCAGGTGCATCAATAAGGTTTATTAAATATTCATCAGGTTTTTTTAAAAGTTCTTTATTTATATAAATAAATAAAATAAAAGTGATTTCATAAAAATTAATGTCTTTTTTAAACGTATTGATTGAATCAAGAAAATCACTACATACCTTCCCCTTCTTTAGTTTCGCGCAAAACATTAAAATATAATGATATACCACTAGCTTCCATTGTTATTCCTCTTTCTTGTTCATCCTCTCTACTATCAAGATATCGTACCTTCCCTGCTAACTTATTGGATATTATTCCATTAGAAGACAAAAGTGAGTCCGATAAAGTGGTTTTACCATGGTCTACATGAGCTAAAATACAAAGATTTCTAATATTCTCTTGCTTAGATTGTAGTTTTACAAGTTGAGAAGTTGTTATAACTGGCATTTTCTTTTTTTTTTAATAGAAAAATAAAAAATTTTTTTTGCCTATTTCAGCCATATGTTGTGTAATCAGCGATTAAGTATATTAGCTGTTGATAGTCGATCGCTGAATAATAAATAATAATAGATCCGATCTTTCCAATATTTGATTTATTTGATTTACAAAATAAAAGGAGGGAGAAAAATATGCACAAATTACAAATTAGTGTAGGGACTTCATATGATCCATCAACACACAAAATCATTCTTCCAAATGAAGAAAATCCATATTTCATCAATACAGAACATATTGTTGGTAGAATTGGTGTTCGTATCAGAGATTTTCAAGGCATAACTCCGTCCGGTAAAGATATAATATCATCAAGTAAATATTTTGAAAATAATAATTATCAATATTCAATACAAGTTCAAGCTAAGTTCAAAGGAAACAATAAATGGACAGCTGATGACATTGTTTTTGGGGTATAAAATGAAGTTTTTAGCGTTCTTGTTTAAATAAAAACGCGTAAATTAATCATATCTTCTCTATAATAAATTATAGAATGACTTTGATCATAAAATAAATTTACCGCCCGGAAGTTGGCTCGGATTAAAAATCCTACAATGGATTGATCCAGGTTTAGAAGCAGATATCTATTCTGATAAACCATCGGCATTCTCACCACTATTATTCACAATGAATGTTATAAATCTACATTATGATGAAAATTCGGCAGATTTGCCTGATTGGCCATCATTCAACGGTAATCATATAATGGAAGGAGAAATATATTCTAAAAATTCCGATAAAATTATAAGTGCATGTAACACCAGTGATAGAAAAAAATATTTCTCCATAAAGGAAAATAGGCAAGATTTTAAAATTACTCAAGATCAAATTTGGAATTTCGATTTCTTTAACTCTTATATAGATTTCAATAAGATCGCTGTAAAGGTATTTTCAAATTGTCGAAAAAAAAAACCAAAATTCATTTTAAATTTTTATTTCTTAATAATTTTAAATTTTAATTAGTTACCTGGATTCGAAATAAGTGTTCTACAATATTGGGATGGACAGGTGAAATTTTTTTTTTTTATTTTCATCATTGCAACTTTTATTAATGCTAACATCGATAATTATTATCTATTGTTTACTAGCCATTACGATATGTGTGTAAATCAAGAGATTCTTCAGTAGTATTTTTTGTCGTAATATTTCAATTAATTGAAGTGTACCAAGAAAATATCAGTGAAGTAGAAGAAAATTTATCAGATGAGGAAAGAATTCAACAACCAAAAATTGACACTTCGCCATTGATTAATAAATTGATTGAAGAACAGAGAAATAAAGAAAAAGAATTATTTAAAAAAATACAAGATGAAAATGATTTAACGCCAAAATCAAATGCGATCTGGTCATCTGTGAAATCCCCGTCTATTTTAAAAATTCCAAAGTTAAAATTGTCTTATGAAGATAAAGATGATCATGATTTATCAAATTTAAATCTTTCATCTTCTTCATCAATTAATGAATGACTCATGATTTTATTAATCATGCATGGTGACAACATGGTAAAAAAAATGAATGATGGAAAAAATATTCTTTGCTACATTTAATTAGATGGGAGAGGATACAATAAAATAGTAATAACAGTAATATAGCATAATATTAATAATTAGGAATCAGGATTTTCAATTTTTTTATTGTATCTATTCCAGTTCTGCTCTCTTTTTAATCGATCATCTGATTTCAAAGAAAAATACTTTAAACAATAACAATAAAGATTAAAAAATTACGTAGATTTTAAATTAAAAAAGAGTAAAATATAATGATATTTATTTTCTAACCTTTTCTCTAAATAAATAGTGACTGGGTTTCTTTTCTTCAGTTTGTTTGCAATCTGTAACATCGTCTTTATCTTTCTGAAGAAACAACAAAGAATCCTCCGAATGCTCTTTAACATTCACATGTGTTTGATGATCTATTATATATTCTTTCACTTTTTCCATTGTTATCAAACGTCTACTCCATTGTCCAAATCTCTGTTCACTGTTGGAAATTAATTCTATACAAGGATGAGTTGGTATGTCAGTGCTGGAATATCTACATTAATAGATTTTTTGAAATAGGAAAAAAAAGGTAAATGATAGATCTGACTAACTAAATATTATAAATAATCTATTTAAAGATAATAATTCAACATATCTATGATTGATTTTAAAAAAAAAGACATACTCATCCACAACATTTGGTAACCAATATACCAATCTTCCACCAACTACTAGATATTTTGCTGAAAACTCCAATAGATCAATAAGTAATTGTGACATTTCATATGGCTTTGTTGGTGGATAATAATCTTGATGTCTTTGATTAATAATAATAAAAGTATATATATAATTTTGAAAAATTTTGCTTCTTTGAAAATTTATTTTTTTACAAATATAATAAATACTACTTGTGCGCTGGAATTCCATCAATTAAATGTGTTTTGATTGGTTTTTTTGTTGGATCCTTTCTACCAAGTGTTTTAGCTCCTGCTCTAACACCATATGGTGCTATATTATTATTATCATTATTTTTTAATTATTTTTTATTTGTATTATTATTATTAAGCGCTACTAATATATTTATTTGAAAAAAGTTACTTACGATCTGTAATTATTGCATCAAACAAAGTACCTTCTCTCCATGGATGATGGACAATATCAAACACCAAGTTATCTAAAACTCTATCTTGAAGTTGATATTGTTTTATATTTGATTTAATAGATTCATTACCTGATAAAATAAAAATATTCAATAATATATTTTCATGAGCTAAAAAAGATATCATCAATAACGATATCGATTGGATAGAATTTCTTTAGTTGATACCTTGACCACGAATTTGTCGTCCATCTATATCAGATCCAATTGTATACGCTCCAAAATGTGAACATGTAAACAGAAAGCTACCGGTTCCAACAAACGGATCATATATCAATTTGCCTGACGATGCCTTTTTTTTTTTTTTTTAGAGAGGGAATAAAAGCAAAAAAATTCCTTTAATTGGAAATCGTTATGAGAAGAAATAAATTATTCCTCAAATAAATGGCAAATTAGACAGACACACCAATGCTTGGTTAGCCATAATTAATGATAGTTCTGCATCCATGGATGTATTTCCAATATAATTACGTTTTTTCAAATTAAACTTATTTACAAGATCCCTATTTCCCGATGATAACTAAATAATAAATAAAAACACTATTGATGAGGTAAAGATTTAGATCACAATACATATGTACATGTACATGTATGTAATGTAGTGTATGTACCAATCGTCCAAAATAAATCATATAAGGCTGTGATGGCGGGATAGCTTGATTAACATCCATTCCATAATCTTCTAATACAGCAAATTGTACTTGTGGATTCTTCAAATCAATATCACCTTTGAACCCAAGATAAGAAAATGAATTAATGATACGAACTTGATAATCTAATGAGCATGTAGATCCAAAAGCTGATACTGAAAATTTAAATGACATATAATCATATTGAGGCTAATTCACAAATAAAAAATTAGTCCTAATGATTTATTTTCTTTAAAAATTGTTATATTAAAAAAGATTCACATACCCATCTTTCAGGTTTTGCTTTAACATGCGAGTGTATTTCTTCGTATGTTTTTTCTACTGCCCATAATTCATAAATTTTTCTATATAATAAACGAAATTGAATTGTATTAGATTTTATCAACACGTCAATTATATAATTTACATGTTTTATAGAAAAACAAACCACCTTATTAATATAGCACGTCTGACAAGTCTGACAGCTTCTTCTTCAGTTTCAATTTCTAATGTTAAAAATGGACACTGTACAACATGCTCGATTAATATATACACGTAGGAAATACTTTTTACTTTTTGAAAATTCTATTGTATATATTGATAAAATTACATCTTTTTTGTATTCTTCTTTGTCATAAACAATTTTAACATTTTCTATCTTAGCTAAAGACTCGAGTTCAGGCAAACGAAATTCTTCGTGAGCTTTGATACATGAAAATTTTTAAAAGTTAATAATAATCAAACTGTTTATTTATTAGTTTATATTAACAAAGTCAAGTTGATAATAATTTTAATGGTTACGATAATGAATTTACACACACTGAGCAAATTGTATAAAATATTTTGGCATTTTTTCTCTTGGAAAATGATTTCAAAAAATTATCCGCAGTGCTGCAGAAATCGCAGAAACATCAGATTTGGGTATCAAAAGCAGAAATGGAATAATGCTGAATATCTTTCTATTCTTGTTGATATTAATAATGGTGCATGTTAGAGTCATCTTTCAGAAACTAAAAAAATTTTAAATATGATGTATTATAATTCTAATTAATTATACAATAATTATATATATATATATATATATATACAATGATTTTAATGAAATAATTTTTTATTGTTTTAAATTCATTTCCCTGAATTCTTCTTTAATAAATAATATTAATATAGGAATTCGTCGTCCCTGCAGCCAAGCCAGCCAGCATTCAGTGTGCGTACCACGTTACACATTAAACATTGTATATACTAGTTTGTGGTCGAATTTCAGATTTTTTAAATTGCATTTTTCAAACTCAGGGTCCTAGAATTGTAGAAAGCAGGTTTTTTTTAAAAAAAATTCAAAATTCCCCAATTCTTAAAAATGTCTATACCAATTTTATATAATAAACCTTCAGAGGAAGAATACGAGGTAATTTCATTATCATTATATAAAAATATCAGTACAAGTAGAAAAAATTCATGTTTGATAAAAATTGTTCAAGCAAGAGATTATTGACTAAATATTTTCTTTTTTTTTTATTGATATGTAAAAAAGGTTGAAAAAATTATAGATCAAAAAACAGAAGAAAATGTAAGATTGAGTTATCTTTTGACTTGAGATTAAAATTGTTAACTGTGTTTTTCTAAAGTTATAAAATTTACTATTATTTTTGATATTTTATAATACAAGTACTTAAAATAAAAATAAAAATTCTATACAATATAGGGCATTATATATTACCTTTTAAAATGGAGGGGATATGATGATTCCTATAACACTTGGTAAGGCGTTATTATTATACTGAAAAAATGAGCGAATTACATTAATATTCATCTCATCATTATATTAAAATGGGTTTTTATTTTATTAATCTTAGTATTTCATCTATCATATTTATATAAACGCACATAAATTAATTAATTAATTAGGGAACCATTTCAAAATCTTAATTGCTCAGAGCTAATTAAACAATACAAAAGAGAACTTCGGTTAAAGAGTGAAATGAGTTTAAATGTAAGAGCTGATTGTTCTGGACCAAATACATTATCATTCAAAGAATTTCTTAGAGTGAGATTATTTTTACATAGAATTTTTAAATTTTATTTTTTTTTATTTTTTTAAACAATCAATTGAATTTTATTTTATTTCTTTGTTTTTATTTTTTTATAATTAGAGAAAAAGACAAACAAAAGGTGTTATTGAATTTGAAACTATGTTGAACAGTAGTGTTAAAGATGGGCCAATCATTCCTGTTATCAACGAAATAGATGATGAAGGGCCACCACCTAATTTCACATATGTAGATTATTATATATATGGAAATAATGTTCCAAGGCCTGAAAATTTAAAGGGAGGCTTAGCAGGCTGTGATTGTGAAGAAGGAAGTTGCAAAGGATATCAATGTAAATGTTTTAATGAACACAATCAAGGTAAATTAAATTATGAAAGATATACACATCAACTGCGTGTAAAACCAGGGAATGCAATATATGAATGCAATTCCAAATGTTCCTGTAGTATTGACTGTCCTAATCGTGTGACTCAATGGGGACGTAAGGTACCTTTAGCAATACAAAGATTTAAAGAAAAGGGTTGGGGTGTTGTAGCAATTAAAAAAATACCCTCCGGGGCATTCATTACATATTATTATGGTGAATTAATAACCACAGAAGAAGCTGATACAAGAGGCACAACTTATGACGAAGTTGGTAGGACTTATTTATTTGATCTTGATTTCTCTACGGCAAATGATCAAAATCTCTATACAATAGATGCTAGTAATTATGGAAATATATCACATTTTTTAAATCATTCATGTGATCCTAATTTAATTGTTGTGCCTATAGTAAATGACAATGCTGATATAAGATTACATCACGTTGCATTCTTTTCAAAAAGAGATATTGCCCCTGGTGAAGAGTTAACTTTTAATTATAATGGTTCAATTGAATATCCTGAAGAAATATCTGAATACTTGGGCGAAGATGAAGATAATACAAAATTCAAAAATAAATATATTTGCAAATGTGCTTCAGAAAATTGTAAAGGCTACTTTCATTCTTAAAAATTCTCATTAACAATATAAATTTTTTTTTTAAAAACTCTTAAATCAATTAATAATTTATTGATAGAAATTAGAATTCAATTTTGTTTATTTTACTTTTCAGAATGTAATAAATATAAATTAATAATTTATTTACCTGAACTTGGTACTTCAAAATCTAAATTTTCAGCCCTCCCCTGAATTGTGTGAAATTTAATATTAATTGGTATGGTTTTTGAGCTAAATTTATGCCTCATATAAAGATGATACTAACTAACCCAAAATTGGTCAGAAATGAGTTGCCTCATTTCTATTCAATCATCATTGAGCCAATAAACAAAAATTTTGGCCAATGAAATCAAATGTTCACTGAACCAGGGCTGATTGCGTAACTCAAATGAGCACTTGGCTAGACTGACTAAACTATTTAGTCATATGTTAAGTCAAGTCTAGTCAAGATGATTATTACTAAATTAGGTTTTTAACACCTTTACGCTGCCAGCCCTGATCTGAACAAATCGAATTTTAGATTGATTTAATTCGTTCTGTACTCGATTTGATTTGATTGAATCAAACCGGATTCCTAAAAAATTTTTTAATGTCATATTAACATAGTAATAGTAAATCTCAATCTAGTGTACATGCCTCGATTTAATGGATCGAGATCCAAGAATGGTTTAATAATAATAATAAAATTTTTAAATTTAATTTATAAAGGAGATTATTTAGTGATGGTGGCTGAAACTATTTTTGAAAAAAAGGTAGTTTTGCTTTTATAATAACAAACATATAAATCAATCTACTTTAAAAATAATTTCGCGCAATTTCAGCTATTATTAAATTTAGTTTTGCCGAGTTTAGGCCAATCGGCAATTTCGGTCCACTAAGTAAGGTAGTTTCGACCACCATCACTAATATTACTATTAATCGATAACAATAATGATGACGAATAAAAGAGTAATAAAATTCACAATTGCGCACAATTCATTAATAAATTCATTAAATCTAAATAATGAATATAACTAATGAATGATAATGATTCGAATCAGTTCAAATTGAATCGAAATCAAACTACGGTGCAGATCGTTTATAATCATTAATTGCTTATAGTAACAATTGGTCAACTTCAAAATACTAAAACAAAAAAAAATTATATCATTTTAAAAAATTTAATCGATAAGTTTTATTGTTCATGACTCAAGCTTCAAAACTTATCGGCTGCTTTCTTCTTAAACTGAAAATTGGCCGAGCCTTAGCATTTTGAAAATTCTGAATTTTGTTATACACTTAAAAAATTGAGACTAAGTAAATTTCGTGCAACAACTTTTTTTCTACAACATACATTTGATTTATTTGATTTATTTATTTCCTTTTTTTTATTAATAAATAAAAGTTATTTACAACAAAAAAGTTTAACGAACATATCAAATTTGGTCGAGAGATTCAAAATATTGTAACACGAAAATTATTGTTGTATTTCTGAGCATAACTTTCAAATTTAAAAAATCTATGAAAAGAAAATTCGAGACAAATTTTTTTTTAGATTAATAGACCCCCTTTTTAAAGCTGAATTGAATGGCGGTGGGTTTTTTTAAAAATTCAATGTGTGGTGGATCACATAATATTTCAAAATTTTTAACTTTTGAGTATAGATGATCCGCAATGTATACCGTGTATTCCAAATTGAATCAAAGTAGAAATTCGGATTCGATTCGGATCCGATTTGAATGAAACGAATCAAAATTAGTTGATTCAAATTGATTCGAATTGGTTCGAATTTCATTGATTCACTCGGAACCTTACTCATTTATAGCTTAATGACGATTTTGTCTTTGCTTTCTTTTCTTTCTCACATAAACTTATTATTTTTTCTTCAATATCTATTTCGTAGATAATCACATCAAACTGCCAGGGAGACCAACCCACATCCATGTATTCATTTATTAGTTATAAATCATGGTTGTTTATAACTATGGGATGGAGGAGAAGAAAACACAGGAGCTGGATAAAGCTCCACTTCATTACTTGGATTGTTTAAGGTATTTGAAACATTCATTATATTTTTGATTGTAGATTAATTGGCCTAAATAGTGAAATAGAATCAATTCGCAAAAGTTGAGTCAAGCCAGGCCAAGCTTTAGTCCAAATACAAATGCGATCTGATTTTTGCACAACACTGTATTAACAGGAGCACAATTTCAATGTGGACTACCATACCTCATCTTTCTTGTCCTCCTCGAAAAAGGATTTCCTCCAGCATCTGCAATTATCTCTTGATGTTCACTTAAATCGAATGAGTGACATAGATAGCAACAAATGACTTTGAGAGTAATGTAACTTATCGCATGATTTCTTCTGTGGTGAATTTACTTCAGCTTCACCAGTTTCATTGAAAGCTCTAGATAATCCCTATAGGTTATTTTTTGAAAGTTTTGTCTGCCAGTAACACCATGCAGATCCATACTGTTCATAAGATGTATCCGGTTTACTGACAAAATATGAGGTTAGTTGTTCATAATAACAATTCACCGTTTGCATAAACATCATTACCAGATAAAATTCTGCAAAGCTTTTTTCTGTTCACAAATCAGTTCTTCCCCAATATACTGAAACCTCTTATCTGCACGCTCA